CCTTAATCCAACTGACACCTCTGTAAATGCCCCTTAGTAAGTCTCCCCATGTCCACTCGGAGCCGAGGGAGCCTGACAGACACCCTAGTTAATTCCACACATGTGTATCTCTTTATTCCCACAGTGCCTGCTATCCAGATCATACCAATAAACGTTGAAATTAAATATTCCCCCTTTTAATATAATCAACTGAAATAGGAAATTGTGATGACTAATTTTGGTTGTCAACCTGACATACTTGGAAGAGGGACCCTCAGAGGAGAAACTGCCTCTATCAGACTGGCCTGTGGGCATTCTCCTTGCTCCACTGATGGAGGAGGGACCAGCCCACTATCGGTGGTACCATCCCTTGACAGGTGGGCCTGAGCTATTATGTATGAGAGGTAGCTTGGCCACATCTCCCTGTGGCTTCTGCTTCAGATCTTGCTTGACTTCCTGTCTGTACTTCCCTTAATAATGGGTTGTGACCTGTGAGCTGAAATAAACCCTTTCCTTCTCCACTTGCTTTAGGTCGTGGTGTTTATTGTAGCAACAGAAATCAGGCTAGAGCAGAGCTTGAAAGAGATTAAAACATTGAAGAAAAAAACCACATTTCCCAATACCAAAGGACAATAACAAAAGCACAATACCAATTGGAGTATAATCTTATTATATGGGGTTTATCTGATTCCTTGAATTTATGATTCACATAAATTTATATACAGCCTACTTTCTCTTCTATGAGTTCAGGAAATGGGTGGCCAGTCAGTTCTATTATGTTTGAAGTTGAAAATTGGGCCACTCACACCATAAGCGTCAGGAAAGCCCCATCATTGACTTACAGAGACCAGAAGTCATTCTACATCCTGGACGATATAATGGGCAATGGAAGGTAAGTTTCTGTGTAGCGACCACTGCTCCTGAGGCCCTCCTCCTCTCTCCGTCCATCTCCTGAACTGTGGACTGCAGCCCCTTTCCGTATCCAGCAAGACCCCACAGCTCATGGACAACCTCAGTGACAGTATTAAGGTTTAGGACAGGAGAAAGAAAGGGAGTAAAAGGAGGAAGTTGCCTAGCATCCCTCCTCCCTCCTGACTTTTCTCCTCCCTCTTATCCTCCCTCCTAGCATCCCTCCTTCCTCCTAACCTCCCTCCTTCCTCCTAACCTCCCTCCTTCTTCCTAACATTCCTCATCCCTCCTAGTGTCCCTCCTCCCTCCTATCCTGTCTCCTAACATCCCTCCTCTTTCCTAACATTCCTCCTCCCTCCTATCTTGTCACCAATCCTCCTTCTCCCTCCTAGCTTCACTGCCATACTGTCTTCTGAGTCTGGGATCTTTAATTCGCCCTTTATTGTCTATCTCCATCCTCCCTGCGATGTGGACCTAAATGTCATTTTGAAATAAAGATAAACATGATTTCAGCACTATATGGATCTAAAAGTCCTCTTTGGTGTCTGTGTCTTTGCTTTTACCAATGAATCCAATATAAAAATGAGTGTGTGTGTGTGTGTGTGTGTGTGTGTGTGTGTGTTTAAGGGGGAGGAAATTGTTGCCTTTATTATGTTTTTCTGTTTCTAAACCCTTTATAGGCCACAGCCAAGGCTCAGCTCACAACCATATTATAGAACAAACAAGAAAAAAAAACTCTTTTTGGAAACCTCAAAAGGATGTTGTTCCATTATCTGGACACCCACATGGAGGATGAAACACCTTAGTCCTCAGCTCCTTGATCTCATTGTCACTGATCTCTGTGCTGCTCAGTTCAATTGCCTGAGTCCTGCAGCTGCTCTACTTTGGGGGCACGAGGGAGTCCAGGGCCTTGCACACAGTCTACCACCCTGCTGGGCGTGTTGCTCTATTTTTAAGATTACTCAAACTGTTCTTTCTAAGAACCGATCTTCTTCCAGCCAGCTTGGACCATCAGTCTCTGACCTCACCAGGACTCCCACTCCAAGGAGCCCATTCCCATTTCCGTTATCCATGTGCCTCTTTGTGTCTCCCCTCTTTATACCCCTTTGATTGCATGGGTCATCATCTGAGCACTTGTCAGCACACTTAACTCCTCAGTTCTTTTGTGGTACCTCCCTAGCAGTTGCTAGCCCAGAATGGAGGCACCTACCCACCCACCTACCCTCCATGAATTTCCCATATCTGCTCCAGAACCGAAGATTGTCACACACAAGACGAATCTGTGTCTTGCTTCTTACGGTTGTGAACCTCAATGAACCTACAGTGCTTCTAGGAAGGACAGACGGACATCTCTGAAGGATCCCTGAGGGTTCTGAAATGTGAATAGAGAAATAAATGGATGGAACCAAGGAAACTGACCAGTGTAGATAAGCCCCGGATGAGAGCAACCTAGAAACCAAGGAAAAAGGGCTTCAACAAGGGTGGCCACTGCCTTTGCCTTTTTGAGCAAAGTCTGTCATTCAGGCTGCTATGTGTGACCAGCCAGGGGAAGGCCAGTGCCAGGGGCGGCTGCTGGCTCACCCCATTCCTTCAGCTGTCTTCTCATGTGAAGCCCAGCCAGCTCATCAGCTTTTGCAGGAGGTGAGGAAGTGGCAGTTTCGGCTAGAAGAGGCTGGTCAGCTTAGCTGACGTGCTGAAGGAATGAGGAAGGCCGGCAGTCTTGAGGCTCCAGAGAGGGTGAAGAGACGATTGGTTTGTCGTGAGGTGGTGGGAAGAACAGCAAAGCTAGGGAGGTGCAGCTGAAAAACGGATGCTAAAAGCTTTTAAGGGTCACACAGAGGTAGGCCATTTCAAGGTGACCTTGGAGGGAGGAAGGAACAGAGAGGTGGATGCTGTCAGTGTGGTACCAGTTCTTTGGTCTCTCTGGCCCAAAGATGACCTCTTCTAAGAGGCTCATCTTTTCAGGGTCTGTGTATCCGTAACACAGTCACTGCCATACAGCAGGCACACCACCATGAGCAGACTCTGAGAGATACTACAGCTCTCTGTGGGGAGATGGATCGGTCGGCAGAAGCATACAATGTTTATCTCAGTGGATCCACAGTCTTGTGGAGGATGAGCCAGTCGTGGATTAAATGAGCAGACAAAGAACACAAAAGGAAGAGTAGTGAAATGTGCCCCCAAAGTTTACTCAGGGCCAGATGGTGTTCTGAGGCGGGGGAGGATGGGGAGGGGGAAGAGGGAGAAAAAGAGAGAGAGAGAGAGAGAGAGAGAGAGAGAGAGAGAGAGAGAGAGGGAGGAGGTCCCTGAGAAGCGAGGCACCATCAAGATCTGGAGGTGGGGGAGGAATTTAGGGAGAGTTAGCTAGAGGGCTGGAACAGTGTGGAAGAAGACCAGGAAGGCCAGTGTGCGGAGATCAAGGGATAAGGGACAGGCTTCGCTTCCACAGTCCTTCCCAGAGAGGAGGCCAGGCTGGTGCACAGCTGCCACCCCTGCCTGCCTGGTTCAGCCCTGACTTCATTCCCATGACAGTGAAAAGAACCATAACCAGTCCAAACCAAAGAGGCGCCATCTCCTCTTGGTTTTGAGACTGGCCGTGAGGTGGCGTGACCAGTCCAATCAAATGCAATGGGAAATCTTCCTTAGGCCTTGTAGGAAAACTGTCCCTCCCTGATGTAGAAAGGACTTCACAGGATTTTTGTCGCCCTATCTCTTCCCTGGGGCTTGGATGCTTTCTTGTGAGAACGTGATAAATATGGCAGACGACCATGTCTGAAACAATCAGAGCCACAAAGCCAGCGTTAGAATATCACCAAGTCATCAGACTGGCTCTGGACCCCTTCACTGAGACATCCTTCATGATGTCTGACAAATAAGAGGCCACTATGATTTCTAATGCTTCTAGAAATAGGTCCCATTAATAATAATAATAATAATAATTAATAATAATAACCCACAGTGCCCATCAGTCCGGCACTGGAACTCACTAAAGTCATAAAAATGCTTCAGATTGCCAAGTTCTTTGTCTTCACAAAGACAGGGTGATTTGGACATCTGCCCTGGTGTCACTTTCTACAATGCCTGTAGGATGCCCTCATTATGACCGTTCTGTGTGTAGAGCCTTTTCTTGTTTCTTTCAATTATTTGTCCCCGAAAAGAGACACAGTAAAGATTGCCTGCAGTGTGACTGATGTCACCACCTCCTGGTGGCATCCACATGGATGTTCTGTCCACACAGACAATGGGCTTTCACCATGTGGCTGGTCAGCCTGTACACTGATGAGCCCCCTTGCTTTGAGCAAGGACAGGAATGAGATCATGCAGACCATGGAGCTGGCAACCTGTCCAGTTACCCTTGCCTGTCGGCATCAGAGCAAGCTGAGAGCCCAGAACAACCGGTCCCAACTAGGTCTCACGGATTGCCGAGTACAAGGAGGACACGCCGGCCACAGGGTCAGCATAGACAAGAGCTTCATTTCTGTCCCTGGCTGTACGCCCTTTAGCAAGCTATTTCATCCCTAAATTACAGTTTCCTCTTTTTAAGATTATGACGTCATCATTCCTACCCTACAGAATTGTTGTGATTGGATGATACCTTAAGTGAGCTACAAATCCCCAGTAAACCTAGGTATTGTCATGTGGTGCTCACTCCAGCTCTGTTTTGGGGAAGGAGGAACAGGAAATTGAAGTGTGATCTCATGACAGAGGCTCATCCTGAAATTAGCAAAATTGGTTGCCTGAAACCTTAAAGAAATTGTTTGCTTGCAAAGCTATTTGGCTGACAGCCGTGCTCATGTTGCTGGCAATGATTAATAAGGAAAAGCATGCTTCTGTCTCGTGGCATATGTACGGACATCTCACAAGGTTAGTGTTTGATGCCAGAAGCAGACATCATTTCCGGCTCATAGGTTGTATCTACAGTACAAGTAGCTTTCTTAGGCACCTGTGGGATATGCTAAGTCTCTTCCCTGAAAAAAATGTCTCAGGTTTTTGTAGAATTAGGAACAAAGATTGGAACACAGGGGTTGGAAAGTTTATGGGCCTGCTGTCTGTTTTATTGTTGTGAAGGAGTACAGACCGTAAAGCGATTTCCTCTTCCCCTTTGGTTAGGTCTTGCTGTGGGTGACAGACTCTCAGGAGCTCTGTGTTTACCAGTGGAGGCCAGAGCAGCTTTTGAGGAACTGCTTAGAGCACTAACTGGACAAAGACCCGCTGTGGAGCCACAGAGGGTGGCCAGGTTCAAGGCTGACTTTCTATCAGGAAACACATTTCAAGAAATGGTTTCTCCTAAAACAAGCAAAGCGAGTTCTGTGCAGCAGGTGCACAAATTGATTGCTTCTGCATGCCTGGAGCCCAGAAGGGTGGCCAAATAAGGAACCAGCACGAGCCACACCCTCCATGGGTGCAGAAGTTAAACAACAAAGAACTTTGGCTGGAGGCTACCCAACACTGTGCTGGTTTTTAGATCTGAAGTCTTATTTTCTTAGGAAAGAATCTGTGAAGCCAGAATTACCAATCCCAAAGCTGGGCATGGTTGCACATATTCCTACAATCCCAGTCTCAGAAGGCTTGGTTCAGACTCCGTTCAAGATCAGCCTTGACTACCTAGTGAGTTCCAGGCTGGCCTCAGAAACAATGAGACCTTGTCTCATAGGAAAAATGAAAGAGTTATCCATCCTGTTTTTTCCAATGAAGAACAAAGTCTGAAGTCTGAAAGGCTACAACGTGAGTACGTGCCAAAGCAGGCGGGAACTGAGCTACCTCTGCGAGGGTGCCAAATATCCAAGACTCTGTACTTTCATCTCCAAAGGTGTAACAAGGTAACTCATTCACACTCCGCCTCCTCTCATTGAACTATGAATTAAAATACACACAAGCCCCTCAGCTGGCCAATACCACTGCACTTGTCAAATGGCAACTGTTTGTGTAAGCTTCTTGCTTGAAAGAGGCCATGTGCAGGACTTCATGCCTGGCCCCTCACTGCACCAATGACTGCTCCATCAAGCATGAATGAGCCAGTCTTCCTGGAGAGCACTCGAAGGAACAGCTGTGCTAGCGAAGCCAAGCTTTTGTTTCTTCGTTTGGGACAAAACAATCCTTCCTAAGGAAGATGTGTTTCTGAGATAGGGCCGGGTGGGAAGCGGGGAGTTGTTTCAGTGCTAGGCACTGCAGAAGGTCAAGGCTAGGTTGGCATTGAGTCATTGTTACTATGGTCCAAAGTCTTGCAGGAATTTTTCAAATTTGTTTGCTTCCCCCGCCCCCAGGTACCTGTAACATCAGGTGCAATTCCGTTCCAAGCCACAAGAAGAACGAAAGGCCAGGACTTCCCCCAGCACCAGCTTCCATTCCTGCTTGGGACAAAAGTAAGATCTTCCCAAGGCTTGAGAACTTCCTGCTACTTCACGTTTCAAATAGAGCTTGTTCTTAATCCTCACCCTCAGGCCAGGCCCAGAGTAAACCGGAGGAGTTCCGGAGCTGTCTGTCGGACAGAGAGCTGCCCCGTGGCCTGGTGAGTACTGCTTGCTGAACTGTGAGTTTGGAGTCTCAACGTCTGGTAATCTGGGAGTTCTTTTCACAACTGAGCAATTACAAATTGGAAAAGTAGACATTTTCCAGTTGAGTGGTCTTGATATTGTAGGGTTTTCCTTTATAATCTTCTTAGGCGGCAGATCTGGAGGGAAAGGGGACCTCTTGGCATAAGGCTTCTGAAATCCCAACCGACAGGACAGCAAACAGGTTGGGGAACAAATGGGAGATCTTCCTGAAGGAGATCAAAGTGCTAAATTGAAGAAATATGCGTAGGTGTAGATGTGGGGCTCATCTGTTCCTCTCTGGGGAACTAGATGCACTTCACCTCACTCTCTCTCAAACGGAGGTTCCATTTGTGAAATACCCCGTCAAAGCAGGCTAGTTCTGAGACCCTAAGTCGTAAACTATGCAAATGTGTAGGTACCTTCAGTGCTCAGTGCCCAGGGTGCTGCCCCTCTTCCTGGCTCCACTCGGAGCTCCGGTTCCGGTGCTGGGGAAGGATTAAGCATGGATTCTGGACAAAGTGTAAAGTAACAAGACGTTCTTCCTAATGTTATTGGGAAGATTTTATCCCTCCCCTTTATAGACTATAAGGCCTTTAAAAACAATTAAGTGTGTTATCAGGAAAAACAAAATTTTTGCCCCTGAAGAACAACCTCCAAATATTTTCCAGCTAACACATTACTTTAAAATATGTTGATCACAACTGGCCTCCTCTGCAAAGCTCCAGGATCCAGGTTCTGTGCACCGTTTCTCACTAGGCTAACTGCTGCAAACACTGCATGCACGGATGGCTGTGTCCCACACGCATGGAGGCCAGAGGAAAGGGCGTGCTGAAAGTGCTTACTCCTAATCATTCTGACATTGAAAAGAAGCCCAGGGAGGTTTTTGTTTTGTTTTGTTTTGTTTTTAAATAGGATTTCAAATTAGCCTCAGCCAACCTAAAACTCATCATGTAGCCGAGGCTAGACTTGAGCATATGATCTTCCTGCCTCTATTTCTCAAGTGCTGGGATTACAGATGTGGCCAGAAATTCATGCTTTTAGTATAAAATTCTCAACGGTAATTTGAAAATGTATATTTTAATTTTTAATTATATGTGCCTTTGGAATGAAGAGCAAAGTATCTTTGAGTTCTTGTAAAGAGCTGTTCTTCAAGGGATCAAAGGCCTTTGGCCTCTCCTGCTTGGCATTCCATCCAATGGAATTCGTCTATCACACCAGGTGAGGGCAAAGGCTGCCGGTTCTCCAATGTATGCAATGAGATGCCCCAGAGAGGCAGTGAGATAATCACCTCTGCTGTTGCTCAGGACTCCTCCAGAAGGGAAAACCTTTCCCCGGGCAGCGGGGGTGAGATAGAAGAGTCCACGAAACTCACGCTGGTCTTCAATAGCTCTGAGATGCTTCTCCCAAACCAGCAAAGGAGAGAGAGGGATGAGTGGCTGATGCTAACCAAGGGCAAAGGTCAGGAAAGGAGCAGTCACACCAGGACAGACATGCAAACAGCCCTCGGCCTTCTTCCCTGGTTGCCCCAGATTGCCTTTTTCAGAGCCTCCCATTTTGAGGTGTTACTACTAATTCAGGGTTGATCACAGACACAGTCCTAGTCCATCAGTCCTGCAGCCCTCACACTGTGGACATCCCTTTGACCTTTCAGTCCCCTAATCGGTGGTCCTCAGCCTTCCTAGTGCTGTGACCCTTTATGCAGTTCCTCACATTGTGGTGACCCCCAACCATAAAATTATTTTTGTTGCTGCTTCATAATTGTAATCTTGCTACTGTTGTGAGTTGTAATAGAAATAGCCAATGTGCAGGATATCTGATATGCAGCCCCCTAAAGGGGGTCATGAGCCACAGACTGAGAACCACTGCCCTAGAAGGTCATGGATGACAGACAAATTTGGTTAGAGTCAGCTTCCCCGGGTCAGTCCTGGGCCTCAGCATCAGGAACTCTTGGGAATGGCTGCAACTAGCAGAGGCACCTGAAGAATGGGGGTCTCTGGGCCTTGCTCATGAGGTTCTCTTTGAAGAAAGCAACCCCAAGATGTGAAGGTTTATCATGGCGGCTTCTTAACCCACATTGCCTCTCAGTGCTACTGACCCATGATCAGCTGCCTCTGTGCTGCTCTGGTGTCATCTGCCTCCCTGGGGCTCTCCTTTTACAGTCACATGGAGGACTTTCACAGGGAGGACTGCCCTTGTAGTCTCTCA